AGTTTGAACACAGCCTTTCCGACAAAGAGCTTGTCAAGTTTGGCATGCGGGTCTTCAGCTGTCTGCCAAGTGTCAACAAGTTCTGCCTTGGTGGCGTCTTCATACTCCAAGTGCGTGACTCGCTAGCCAGCCAAGTCAGTCACGGCAACCGGGCGGTCTTTGGTGCGTTCTGAGATGAACAAAGTCTTGCGTGCTCTCTTGCGTATCCTCACCAAAGTGTTCCCCTCAATCACCAACTTTTTAGGGGCCTGTAACGCGCGACGCGCCGCGAATCTTGTTACGGAGGCCTGTAACGGACGTCCTTGCTAGGCAGGTCTGTAACGGGAAAACATTTCCTGACAAGCAGTATCAGTAGAACACTGGGTGTAGCGCAGGGGGAAGCACTCACTTGCGACAGAAGTTTTTACTCACACTTGCAAATTCACCTGATTTGACTCACTCGCGACTTAACCCTGACTCACCTCACTTGCGACTACGCGCTTTCCAGAAGTGTGCTTGCGCGCAGGTTCCGCTCATCCACCTGGCTCACTTGCGACAACATTCGCGCCACGCGACCATCAGAGGCAGGTTTTTAAAGTGATGACATGCGTGTTGCCATCATTTTGCCCGCCACACTCGCTACACAGTCTCTTTCTTCTTTGGGGGGAGGGGGGGGGGTTTGGGGGGGGCACCCCTTCTCCACTGAGCCCGTGCTGCCTGCTCCTTAAACCAGGCTTTTGGGTTTGGCTTTAGGATTTAAGCTTTTGGGCTTGGCTCGCATCACTGTAGGTTTTAGGGTTCTGGGTTTGGGCTCAGGGTTTAAGGCTTTTGGGTTTGGCTTGCATCACTGTAGGTTTTAGGGTTCTGGGTTTGGGCTCAGGGTTTAAGGCTTTTGGGTTTGGCTTACATCACTTTAGGTTTTAGGGTTCTGGGTTTAGGGTTTAGGCTTTTGGGTTGGGCTTTAGGCTTTAGGCTTTTGGGTTAGCTTTTGGGCTTGGCTCGCATCACTGTAGGTTTTAGGGTTCTGGGTTTGGGCTTAGGGTTTAGGCTGGTGGGCTTGGCTTACATCACCTTAGGTTTTGGGTCTTGGGTTTGGGCTTTTGGGCTTAGGGTTTAGGCTCTTGGGTTTGGCTTACATTCTGCCTGTCGTCAGTGTCTGTAGGTGGATGAGAGCAAGTCTCTGCGCATGCCGAACGTCAGGCTCTGCAAGCTGCTGTCAGCATGCGGTTTCGTTTCCGTGCAGAAAAAAGTCCCCCTCTCCCCTCAAACAAATGAGTTTTCCCCAAGCATGCCCCAAACTTTGGTTTAGGTTGGTGAGGTCAAGTCTCTGCGCCTGCCGAACGTCAGGATCTGCAAGCTGCTGTGAACATGCGGTTTACGTGGACCAAAATTGTGGGTCCCTTCTTTTTTCCCAAATCAAAAAGCGATTCCCGGAACATACCCCAAACTTTGGATTAGGCGGGCGAGGGCAACTTTCAGCTCTTGTTACTTTTGGAGCCTTGCGCCTACCTTGTGCCGCGCTTGTGCTCGGAACCGGGCCAAAACTTTAAGCAGATCAGGACAAGTTGTTGCCAAGTTCATGCAAAACACATCAGCGATGGCTGTCCTACATACTTCGAGCAGTTAAAGTGAAGTGAACATGCGAACACCGAACACTCATTGTGTTTCCACCACACAAGAAACGGCACTCACTTGCGACAAAGTTTCACAACCGACCGCTTTTGCCCCAAAACCACACCTACCTCCTCCCCATCCACAAAACGCTGTAATTTGCGATGTTTTACGTGACCAATTATGTGCCGTCACAAGCGAGATAGTCCAGTCACAGGAGAGAAAAGACAACGTCACAAGCGAGAAAAACCTGACGTCACAAGCGAGGTACCGCCCGTAGCGCAGCACAACAAGGTATGTGATGGCTATGTGACGAGGTCTGCAACGAGGCAAAGCAAAGCGCAGGATGCAAAGCGCGACCCGCAGCTCCAGCTTGATTGCAGCTACTCAACGCAAGCCAAGCTGTGGCAAAAAGCAGGGTCGTTGGCCCGGGCTGGGGTTGGGTCTGCAACGAGGTATGTAACGGCTCCTCCGCAGCTCTATTCAACGCAAGCCAAGCGGCGGCAAAAAGCGGGGTCGCTGGCCCGGGCTGGGGTTGGGTCTGTAACGAGGTGTGTGACGGCTATGTAACGAGGTCTGTAACGAGGCAAAGCAAAGCACGGATTGCAGCTATTCAGCGCAAGCCAAGCTGCGGCAAAAAGAGGGCAGTCACGTCACTGACCCGGTTTGTTCATCTGAAGTGTGTAGCGAAGGTGTGTAACGAGGGTGTGTAACGAGGGTGTGTAACAAGGGTGTGTAACGAGGGCGTGTAACGCGGGGCGTGTAACGAGCCAGCTGGTCTTGTTACAGAGGTCTGTGACTAGGTCTGTAACGAATGTCCGCTGCGGCTCTGTTACAGACCCCTCAAAAATTAAAATTCACTGCCATCTATCTGCGTGGGAATAGACAGGTTGAAAAGTTGGGGCAACCAAGTGGTTTGGAGCTGCTTCTCCAGAGTACTGGTCGTGCAGTGTGTGTGTTACACACCTCTTCAAACACTTGTTTGTTGAAGCCCACAACTTTAGGTCGAAGAAAAAAAGTGAACCATGTCGTGTGACTCCAATCTTTGTGCCCCTCCTGGCGCCACTAAGTAAGAGTGCTCCTTACCAAGTTCAGCACCGTAACCTTGCATCAAAAGTCGAGCTACGGAGCACACAGCATATGGAACGTCACAGACATAGAGTGCAACCAACAGGTACAACCATCAGGCTCAAACGGTGCAAGTTTCCCACCATAGATCAAAAGTGGTTGACCCGAAGCGCGTCCAGTAAGTGGCAAGAGAGGCCACTCTGGAGCAAAGTCCTTTGGACAACAGTGGGCAGCTGCTCCTGAATCAAAAAGTAACCAGGGCTCTCTGTCCTGCCACACTGCTGATGCAAGTTGTTCTTGCAAGTACACATCGTGAAACTCCGTGTTCACACTCAAGTTCAAGTCTTCAACCTTTTTCAAAGTGACATGTCGTGAAACTGTCGGTCCATCAAGTGCGAAAGTCTCAAGTGGTGCAACTGGCAAGCCAACCAACGTGTTCAACAAGTTGCCATGCGAACAAGTACTACCAAGCAAACCAAGCGGCAAGCAACCTTTCAAGTCAAAGTCGACCAAGCCAGTCATCATGTCATCTGTCTTGACACTTTCGAGGCCAAGTCCAAGTGAACTCCCTGTGCCAAAGTTTCCGAGCAGAATGGCAGCCAACATAAAGTTGGAAGCCACAGACGTTTTCGGAACAGGCTTAGCCTTAGGCTTTGGCAGTCCCGGCGGGCTCGCAGTGACTGCAAGCAACTCCAAGTGAGCCAGAAGTCGAAGCATCTGCTCCTGAAGTGCTCTTTCTCAAGTTCTTTGCTGCGTCACTACTGTCCAAAGTGGAAGTTGGCGGTGACCAACCCCAAGCGTCCGACTCCCAAGTCCAAGCATGATGCCACCAAGCATCATCTTGCCAAAGTGCGTTCACGCTCCAAGTGTCCCAAGCAACCCAAGGGTCCTCGGTCCTCGAACACGTTGTCGTCGAAGTACGCAAAGTTCTCCGATTCCTCTGCCAACCAGGACGAATCCTGAAGTGCTTCTGTTTCTTCAAGTGCGTTCACTCTCTGTTGGGACAAGCGTTAGACAAGTGACCTGGTCTACCACAAGTCCAGCAAAGTTGGGGACCTAAGTTCTTACCTTTGCCTTTCTCTTTGCCTTTTCCTTTTTCACAGTCTTTTCCTTTGCATGCCTTGCCTTTTGCCTTTGCGTGAAAGTTCCAGTGGAGTCCCTTTCCTTTACCTTTGGCCTTACCTAAAAGTCCTTTTCCTTTGCCTTTGGTTGTTCGAAGTGAGGAGGATGTGTCGCGAACGAAAGTACTCCACTATGACGTCTTTGAATTTCGCGTAGGTATGAAGTGATTGCATCTAGTCGCAAGTGCTGCTGCAAAGCTCCAGTGGTCTTGTTCAGCAAAGTCGCCACTAACACGCTATCGGGAAGTTCGGTTCCAGTCTGTCGCTCATATTGGTTTCCCAGTTGTTAAAGTCAGCTTCAAAAGTTGCTGGGTTAAACTTGAAGTCTAGGAGCTGAGTTAAAAGTGAGACACGCCTTGTGGCATCTGGCAGTGCGAGCTTCTGGTAAAGCCGCCTCCAAGTCTCAAAGCTGTTGCCGTCAGTGTTCTGCCTCACTATAAGTCTCGCAGTATCTGCAGTGAGGTTCGCTAGCAAGTAGCTGCTTTCGGCTGAAAGTCACCGCCTTTCTCGATGCTTCCACTTCTGGATCATCAGTGTCCAAAGTGATTGCCAAGTCTTCATCCGGAATTGGCTCAGCTCCTCCTTCAACCCTGGCAAGTACCCCCCCAATTGCAGAAGTCTCAAACATTGAAATGTATGCTTTGAAGTTCCAGGACCACTCTTCCCACTCCGATGGCAAACCATTGTAAGTGGATGGCAGTCTGCCAGCCATGTCCCCAGTGTCGTCTCCAAGTCTTGCGCCTATGTCCATGGCTCAAACCCCAAAGTTCTTCGGACGCTCTGGAAAGTTCCAGAGCTCCGCTACCATGGAAAATTCCAAGGACTCTAAAGTCACACCAACCACAAACCGAAGTATGCGAAGTGACTCAGCACCTTTTCCTCAGGTGCATGCTTGAGCCACCAAAGTGGCAGCCGTATCATGACATAGGCATGGGGGAAAAGTGTATATTTGACACGATCACAAACAAACAAACAAGCAAGCAAACAAACAAACAATCAAACACACAAAAAAGCCAGAAATCAGCAAGTAAGAAAGCAAGGAAACAACCAAACAGCCAGGAACACACGAACGAAGAAATGCGAATCGATCAAAGCACGTGCCAAGAATCAAAGCACGACAAAAAAGCAAGGAAACACAAGGAGCAAGTGACACACGTGCGTAACTTGCCTAGGCCGGTGCACTCCCGTGGCGTGGCTGAGTTATACATTGAGACTGGCTGCTGGCGCGGTCGGTACTTCCGGCACCCGTCTCGGCCGACTCAAGCGCCGGAAGACGTTCTGCGAGACGTAGGCGCGCGCGCTGGAGAAGTGCTCCGGAATGGGGTTCCTCATGCAACTTGGAATCGGGAACGTCGGAAAGGCTGGTGCATCTTGGAGCCAAGTCAAGCCAAGTGCAAATGAGCATCGTCTTGGGCATCGGCGGCCTGTCCTCACTTTGGCAGCTGGCTGGGGAGCTTCTGAGCTGAAGTTGTCGGCTGGCGGTGCTGGTGGAGAGGTCGGGCGTGAAGGTGCACTCGGACATCTCCTCCAGTTGTCGTCTGTGGATCTGCTGGCGCTCGTGGAAGGCACGCATGGGCTCGGAGGCCAACGGTGCGCACAGCCGCGCAGCGAGCGCCTCCCAGGTCTCCCGTCCGTCCCGGGCTTCCACTCGGCGCGGAGCCCGCTCGGCCTCTGAAGCCGAGTGCCGCAAGTCTGACTCAGTCGAAGCGCGAGTGTGCAAATGGCCCATGTGCCACGTGCTTTCATGTGTCACCTAAAATGTATTAAATGTGTCGTGCGCCGAAAGCGAGAAGTACAAAGCCGACCGGCCTTTGATAGTGAAGCCAGGTGGAGAGCTTCATCGCACGTGAGCAATCGCGGCAAGTCCATTGCTCTGAAAACCAGCTTCCTGCGAAGAGACAACACACACACACACATTGTGACACATGCAATACTCGTATGCAATACACGCAGCCAACACAGCTTCCATGCCACATGCTACATGACTGCCTGGCAGGGCAAAATTATGGCTGCAAAGCAAAAAAAGATTCCAACTGCACCAGCGCAACAGCGGCAGAACAGCGAACTGCGTGTCTGGTCAAACAGCGATTCAATCCACGCTCCTGTTCCCAAACTCTGCGGCCGAAGCTTTGCAGCATTGAGCCCTGACTTGCTAAACCGAACATGCCGAGACTGTGAGACATTCCCGCCGAGGCCAGACTGGTGCTGGCACTATTTTCTGGCAGCGACATACCAAAAGTGAACAAACAGAGCAACAATTGTACATCCAGTGGCTGGAATCGGAGTTAAAGGAAAACCCAATATTCACCATCCATTCGGAAGATGCCGGCGGCAAAAGAGCGTGCTCTTGAACGAAATCACGCTCAGAAACTGAGTGTGTGTGCTGAAGCACCGCAGTGCTGGTCCGAGAACTTACCTGAACTGAGATTAGGAAGATTGGGCTGAGACTCTGAGAGGGCTGGGTCAAAGCATCATTCGGCCGCCGTCTTCAAATCTCTGGTCAGCTCCATTGTTGGCGACAACTTAGTTCAAGGTGCGTTCGAACTTGTTCCGACACCGAGGCGCTCTATGGCGGGCGCTCCCTCTTCCAAGGAGGTACTTGGAGCCGCGATCCTGTTCCAGGCACTTCGCTCCTCACGCAAAACGGGCGTCGGGGATGGAGCTCACAGAGCTGTGCGAGTCGAGTCGAGACTGCGCGCCTCTTCGAAATCTGCGGCCAGCAGCGCCAAAGCGAAGCCTGCAGCTGCTAGGACCTTCGGAAACGCGCAATTTGTGCGCAGTGGCCTGTCATTTCCATTCATTTCCATACCTGCCAATCAAAACGCCAATTGAGGAATCCGCGGTTCCCAAAAAAGTCCGCCGACCCCTTGTCTGCAAGGACGAGGTGCACGGGAAGGGTGGTGGTCGTAATCATAATCATTCCTGCTGGGGTCCTCATGCTTGCCACTAGTATCATCGATGTGGGAGAAATTTATATCCGGCGCGGCATGCAACGTATCATGAATGTCATCATCATCATCATCATCATCATCATCATCATTGTAGTTATCATCATCGTTTGCGTGCTCCACTTGCAACGCAAGGGATGCTAGGATGATGATAGTAGTCATCATCATCACCATCATCATTATCACCATTACCCAGTCAAGACCCGACTTGTAATGCAAGGGAGAAGTTGCTGGCATCATCATTATCATCATTGTGGTTATCATGACCGTCCGCTGCCGAACACTTTGAGAAGTGATTCGCTCACACATAAAACCAGTCGAGCTTCTGGTTCACTTCCACATGGGTTGTACCAACCGAGAGTGGCGTTTGGCACTTGTCTCGGCGTCCTTTCTTACTTATTATTTTCTTATATACATTTCAAGTGTGGCGTTAGGCACCATTGGTGACGCAACGGACGCCACGATGATAGTTAATCATCATCATGATGGGAGCGAGGAGCGGCATGGCAGGGTGCCAAAGGTCAGGAAAGATTCATTTGCTCTCGCACGGCGTGTTTCGTTCTGTGGCTCGCTGTGTCAGACACGCCGCAACAGCAGCTGGGAAACAGCTCAATTTAATGCAGAGGATGCTCTGATGATAGTTATCATAACAGTCATCATCCTTATCATCCTGATGATGATGGTCAGCACAGTAATCACCCTTATCATCATCATGCTTGTCAACATCATCACCCTAAACATCGTCACGATGATGGTCATCATCACCCTTCATCATCATGATGGTCATCATCCTCTCTTTCTTCTGTACACAGGATGCTACGATGATAGTTCATGACAGTCCTTATCATCATTATCATCCCGATCATCATCATCTCTGTTGAGGCAGCATTGGTAACGACGATAGTTGTCGTCAGAGTTTTCATCATTATCATGTTCACAGTAATCATCCTTGTCATCATCATCATCATCATCATCATCATAGTCATCATCACCACCTTTGTCATCATCTGGTGGTCACCATCATCATGGTCATCATCTATTTCTTCGAAACATCTCGAGTGTGGCGGTAGGAACCACCGCCGAAAATGCTACGATACTCTTGTTCAGTTGGATGGTTGGACATGCTCAATCTTAGCCAGATGGACCATGCGACATGTGGGAGACTTGGCAGGTTGCACTTTGCGTCTGGAGTGTTGCCTGAAGGAACGCCACTAAGCGGAAGGAGGCTCCAATGCTCCACGAATCCATCGCCTCAGAAAATCGTCGAGGAGACAAATGCCCCAGAAAGTTGAATATTTGCAAGGCGCCTTGCCGATGGCGTAGGGCATGGGCATGGCAAAAAGGATATTGTTGCACTGTACCTCCGGTTTCACTCGCATCTCTGTTATGCGTCCCGGGTCAAAACTGGCCTGGTAAACGGAAGCCTCGATGACACGATTGGCGGTCAAGGCAATATTGATGATTCCTTGCCTCAGTGAGCAATTGCACTCCAACCGAGTGCTGCTTGGCTGGCTCAAGTGAGAGCCCGGCGCGGCCGGATAGACACCCCCAGCAGCGAAGAAAGTCACAAACATAGCAGGCCTGGATGCAACATATGCAAACATGTCAACATATGCACTATGCAAGGGATGCGCTCGGCTAACGTGCTGAGTGCAAAACCAGAACATTGAAGTGGGTACGTAGGGCAGCGTAGCTGCAAGGACAGCAGCCACTGTGGAGATGACGGCAAGAAAAACAAGTGTCCTGCCAGTCGAGTGCAATACTCAATTTTCATGCAGGAATTGCAATGAATGGCATCATCTCCTCTTGTGCTGACCCCATTTGTCCGGCTGGACGATCGAGCCCGACATGGCCACGCTTCCGCCTTACTGTACTCCAACAGCAACAGCTACGGCACAAGCTGTGGGCCGGCACCGAGCGCAGGCCCCAGAAGCGCAATGCCCTGTCCAGGCGATCGCGCACGCGCAAAAGAAGCGTGCGCAGCCATCGCACGCCGTGTATTGCTCACAGGCATTGATCCTTGCTAAGATCCGTGGCGTTGCAATCAAGATCATGATGCAACAGGGCCAAAACCTTACAAGTTCAATGGGAATCCGTGCCAGGCACATCATCAACATGTGCATGAGTCTGCCGGTGAGATCTAGGTACACATGTATCACATGTATTGATCTTGAAGACTTACTGCAAGTTACACTCGACATGCGGGATCGTGAATGGCCTTTATTGAGCTTGCCTCGTATGCGCAAAAGATGTATTCTTGGGCACATAGCATATGCTTGGCATGCGAAGCCGGGATTGAGATCGATCGATCGGTCGATCGATCGGTCGATCGATGCTGCACCGAGAAGGTGGCCAGGATGACATGGAGCCCAAAGCCCCGTGACCTGAAGCATGGTGGGTGGGACATGATGGGACTGGGCTCGCGCATCGCGAGATCGCGAGTCGCGCACATGGCGTAGTCGCGGATGACGTATTTGCACCTGCGTTCTTGTAAATAACTTTTGATTATCTGAGTGACGAGGCCCGCCCGAGGCTGCAGCCCGCCCAGAAAGCCAAGCTGTGCTGCTAGCGACACATTTGTCGCCCAGTACCTATGGACAAACTGAGGGGTTCTGCACAAAGCTTATCACCACTTAGGCTCTGACACACCCCAACGCTCTGTCCCTGGGTATTCAACTTCACCTTGAGCCACGAGCCCCCCCACTCCGACTCAAACTTGGACCTTCGTTCGCTAGGCAGCTGGCTAACTACCTTATCCTCGCCTCAAGCAATTTAAACAATTTCAAGCAAGCTGGGAGTCATGAGAAATCAGTCGTATCAGAGGTCAGCGCTCTCCATGTGCTTCGCCGATGATCCGTCAGCAAAGTCTAGGTATCCTCAGACAGCTTGGATCGAAATCGGCCAGCCTTTCCACATGCGCACCAATCACTCCACTCCCCCCTTCACCCATCTTCACCCAGTCAACTTCCGAGCTACTTCGAGAATTCCCACGGGGCTCCCGACTACGGCCGCCGTAGGCCAAGCACAGCAGCGCGGTGCCGCCAAAAGCGATGGCCTGACCTACGAAGGCCCAGCGCCAGGAGAAGCCAGCGCTCACCAGCTCCTCTCGAAATCGCATGTAAATTGATTCTGCGGTTTTGGGTGAAGATGAAGTAGCCCAGGGAAGCAAATGAGCACAAAGTGGAACGCGATGTGATCAAAGCACCCGGCAACACAACTCGGGGGAGCTGAGGTTGATGACAGGGTTGAAGGGCGTGACAGGTGTAAGAAAGTAAGTTGCTTGAAGGTTAAATGGAAAAGGGTTACAAAAAGAGTAGCTTCGAAGACCAGGCCCAAGAACACCTCGACGCCCCACCGGGTGCCTCCTACCCCCAGAGATCCGCAGCACCACAACCAGTTTTGCGATGATGAGGACAAATGCCAGGGTATGGCGCCCACACGTGAAACCCGAGAAGAACTGGACGGGAGATCTCAGCCATACGGCCATACGGCAAGTATGTTTGATGATGAAACAACACGTGAACAAAACACACACCCCTCATCCGATCTGGACAAGAGAAAAGATGCGTCACAATTGAGTTCACGACGAAAGGAATCAACCAAGACGCCAGTGCCAACTCACCGCAGTTAAAGTCCCGCCACCACCCTGAGCGCGCAAAAGCATGCTGGAGGATCCTGTCCGGATCAGCGCGGTCATCACGGCCTTCGTCACGGGCACCTCCGCCCCTGTCATCCCTGTGGCGAGGAGGGCCGGCAGCATGACGTGCATCTTTGCCGGGTCGCCGCTTGCCACGGCCCTTGCCCTCACCACGAGGGCCACGACGACCATCTTCACGATCATCGCGCTCACCATGAGCGGTCCGGAAACGATCTTCGGCACGTCTGGGTGTTGGCGCCTCGTGCGAGGAACGCCCGGTGGAAGATCCCACTCCTCATCATCAGCATCCCTATAGGTCAGTCAAACGGGGAATCTCTGGTCCCCAAGCTGCCAGACGCGGACTGGCAGGAGTGCCAGATCCCGACTTCAAGGTCAGGGGAGTAGACGCGGCTCTCGGTTTTGCCGGGCCACCAGTGAAGGGGTCCTTCTCAGCCGGGTCACCAGCCACAGCTTCAACCTGCGTTGTTGGGCGAAGATGAAGTAGCCCAGGGAAGCAAATGAGCACAAAGTGGTACACGATGTGATCAAAGCACCCGGCAACACAACTCGGGGGAGCTGAGGTTGATGACAGGGTTGAAGGGCGTGACAGGTGTAAGAAAGTAAGTTGCTTGAAGGTTAAATGGAAAAGGGTTACAAAAAGAGTAGCTTTGAAGACCAGGCCCAAGAACACCTCGACGCCCCACCGGGTACCTCCTACCCCCAGAGATCCGCAGCACCACAACATGATTTGCGATGATGAGGACAAATGCCAGGGTATGGCGCCCACACGTGAAACCCGAGAAGAACTGGACGGGAGATCTCAGCCATACGGCCATACGGCAAGTATGTTTGATGATAAAACAACACGTGAACAAAACACACACCCCTCATCCGATCTGGACAAGAGAAAGGATGCGTCACAATTGAGTTCACGACGAAAGGAATCAACCAAGACGCCAGTGCCAACTCACCGCAGTTAAAGTCCCGCCACCACCCTGAGTGCGCAAAAGCATGCTGGAGGATCCTGTCCGGATCAGCGCGGTCATCACGGCCTTCGTCACGGGCACCTCCGCCCCTGTCATCCCTGTGGCGAGGAGGGCCGGCAGCATGACGTGCATCTTTGCCGGGTCGCCGCTTGCCACGGCCCTTGCCCTCACCACGAGGGCCACGACGACCATCTTGAAAGCAGCGGGCGGAGATTCGCAAACAAGGAAAAAGCGGTTGTTAGATTGAGGGATGCTTGCGTTGCTGCGAGCGTCAACATTCCAAAAGGGAGCCCCGCCGTTCCACACAAAAGAACGCGCCGACCCAAAACAAGAGGGCGACGCGGGCGCAAACAAACGCCCCCCCCTGAAAAAGAAACTAGAACCACGGGCGGTCCGAAAGCACAATGGAAATTGAGCGTTGGTTTCGCGCGCGTGTGTCTGCTTCCCTCTTCATGGGCGAACGGCAGCCGCAGATTTTTCCCGAAGGCGCGGCGAAGGGTTCCCGTTATTAAGCGGGGCAAGGTCGGTCAGAAGTGTCGATCAGAAGTGTTGATCAGAAGTGTCGGTCAGAAGTGTCTATTGGACACATTGCTCAGAAGTGTCTCTGTTGCTCCGACGTGTCGATCAGAACTGTCGCTCAGAAGTGTCGACGCGCACAAGCGTCGCTTAGAAGTGTCGATCAGAAATGTTGCTCAGAAGTGTCGAGCAGTAGCGTTGCTCAGAAGTGTCGCTCAGAAGTGCCCATCAGAGTGAGCGGGAGAGGGCGAGAGCGATTGAGAGTGAGTGAGAGCGAGTCGGAGTGAGTGAGAGCGAGAGTGAGCGCGAGTGAGTGAGAGCGAGTGAGAGTAAGTGAGAGCGAGTGAAAGTGAGCGAAAGTGAGCGAGAGTGAGTGAGAGCGAGTGAGAGAGAGAGAGAGAGCGAGAGTGAGAGTGAGCGAGAGCGAACCAGTGCGAGTGAGAGCGAGTGAGTGTCAGTGAGAGCGCGTGAGAGCGAGCGACAGAGGGAGCGAGAGTGCGAGAGTGCGAGAGTGAGAGAGAGAGAGAGAGAGAGAGAGAGAGAGTGAGAGAGTGAAAGAGTGAGAGAGTGAGAGAGTGAGAGAGAGAGAGAGGCGAATTTTGCACATCGACCGGGCCAATCCCCGCAGAAGGCGTCATTTTCGCAGGGTGGGCTCGGCCCCGCCGCGCCGCCTTAAGAGACTAACTAATTACTCTCGCGTCGACATGTCTCGCGCAAGTTTGGCTGTGCGATGTATTGGCTGTGCGATATCTCGTTATTACTTTCGCGTCGACATGTCTCGCGCAAGTTTGGCTGCGCGATATCTCGCGCAAGTTGGCTCGCGCAAGTTGGCTCGCGCAAGTTGGCTTGCGCAAGTTGGCTCGCGTAAGTTTGGCTGCGCGATAAGGCTGGCGCAAGTTGGCTTGCGCAAGCTTGGCTGCGTGATAACGCTGGCGATTTTATCGGGGAGAACCCTTCGCAACGCTGTTGGGAAAAGCGTACGATCTCCAGGCCCGAGGCTTCGAAAATGATCGAAGCCAGGACCAGCGGAAGCTGCGGGGACCTGTGGTTGAGCCCGGCCCCGGCCCACCGCTCCGCCGTCACCCGGTCGACGTCTCTCGCCGATACCTGAAGGGAAAAGATTCAAATCGTTATAGCTCGATGGGAAGCGCTTGCGAAACACAGGGGCTCTCGCGCTTTCACTTGAGCACGACTCACGCGGGAACAGCGCGCGCCAACGTCCTAGATTAGACTAGTTGCGCGCGGCGCTTGCTTGCAAGCCGAACGCCCCCCGCCAACCCTAGGACCGCCGAACGCTAAATTGGCGCGCCCCATTTCCCCCCCTCGCCTTTTTGGGCGCGTCGAGGGCTGCATGGCACCCGTGCTGGAGGAAAAAGTTGGTGCCGATTGTGTCCAGCACGTAGTCCTCCTCAGCCCGCCGCCGCCTGCGGCAAGACCCCCGGAGCAGCAAGGACGCGTCTTGGGTTTCGCGAGACTTCGCTTCCCCCTGTTAATTCTCCGGCCCAGAGCGCGGGCCCCCCAACACTACTTTTAAATTAGGCAATGCTCAAGGCAGTGCCAAACTATCTGATTTTGAGATTTGCATTTTTTAGGGGAGAACAAACGTCGATCGAAGCGGGTTGAACATCGGAAGTTTGATTCCCGCCCTCTGCTCACCTGTGGCTTTCACTTCAGACAAGGGCGTTGCTTCTGTCTGGCTGCCTGGGCAAAGCCTGTCCAGCGGGACGTCGCCTGTAATCCATAGCGGGAACCCCTTGGACCCTAGGCCCCCTATAAAGAAAAATTTTGGTCCCGGAACAACATTTATTATTAGAGTTGGAGGGGCGGGCTTCGTTGCAAGGGAAACTATAAAAAAAGCTCGCAGCGAGTGGATCTGACGAGCGCCCAAGCGCCCAAATGCCCAAGCGTCCCGCCTGCTCCTGCCTGACGCACGTCGAGGAGCGAATCCGGGGCGTGGGGCACTGCAGCGCGAAGCGGTGATACTCCGCGTGCCTGGGGCGCTGTTAGCCAAAGCCACAGAGCAAGCACGATCATCGCGCTCACCATGAGCGGTCCGGAAACGATCTTCGGCACGTCTGGGTGTTGGCGCCTCGGAAGCACGTGTAGTGCGAGGAACGCCCGGTGGAAGATCCCACTTCATCATCAGCATCCCTAGGGTCAGTCAAACGGGGAATCTCTGGTCCCCCAAGCTGCCAGACGCGGACTGGCAGGAGTGCCAGATCCCGACTTCAAGGTCAGGGGAGTAGACGCGGCTCTCGGTTTTGCCGGGCCACCAGTGAAGGGGTCCTTCTCAGCCGGGTCACCAGCCACAGCTTCAACCTGCGTTTTTTGGGCGAAGATGAAGTAGCCCAGGGAAGCAAATGAGCACAAAGTGGCACACGATGTGATCAAAGCACCCGGAAACACAACTCGGGGGAGCTGAGGTTGATGACAGGGTTGAAGGGCGTGACAGGTGTAAGAAAGTAAGTTGCTTGAAGGTTAAATGGAAAAGGGTTACAAAAAGAGTAGCTTTGAAGACCAGGCCCAAGAACACCTCGACGCCCCACCGGGTACCTCCTACCCCCAGAGATCCCGAGAAGAACTGGACGGGAGATCTCAAAACTTGAGCCATACGGCCATACGGCACGTATGCTTGATGATAAAACAACACGTGAACAAAACACAGATTCAAACGTTGAGGTAAATGACACAAAGAATGAACGCATATGTCTGTTGCATGTGCAAATATCATATGCACATATCATTGGGGTCCTGCGCCAGGATGAAGCCCACGTTTTCACCGAGAGGCACCATGGCATGCAGAATTGCATTCCAGACCTAAGGGCAAATGCCCTGAGGAAGGTGCTAGGTGCCCTGAGGCACCACGGCATGATGCAATGGGCTGCCGGCATTCCAATTGTGGCTTCCATGGCGGGCTAGCCACTCCTCAGAAACAAAATCGATGGAAAGGCCCCGGAAGGAGCTGTCTGTCCTGCAAGTAGGGCAGGAATGGTGCTTCGAAGAAGCCAACCAAAAAGCGAACCTCGAGCATGCGAAACATGCCTGTGGAGCAAAATGTCTCGAAGTGTCTTTGAGTCTCAGGAAGAGACTGCATAGATTTGGTGGAGGGTGATGCCGGGGACTGTCATGAGCAGCATGGCCTAGTTTTTGAATGCAGTTTGAGTTGACTCTGCTTGCATCTCTCTCTCTCTCTATCTCTCAGCATCCCAGCAATGACATCCAGCACCGTGCACACGACCACCACGTTGAACTCCCCAAAGGTCCTCTCAGAACGCGCGTTGAGTTAATCGGATTCCAAGATTTCGAGTTAATCGAGTTAATCGATTTCTCCTGCAGGCCCAGGGCGTAAGAGGCAGTCCCAGGCAGACCCCCATGGTGACCCACCTCGAGCCGTCAGACCGAGCGTTGCGGCTCAAGCTCTTGGGGAGCGCGCGATCCCAGCGCCAGGTTCATGGCTTTGGAGTTCCTCGAGTTCGAACATCGAAGTCTCTCGATATCAAAGTCGCACTCTTCGTCTCAGGCCCGGGCCCTGGCAGCGAAACCGCCACGCCGATGTTGGAGCCGTGCCCGAATTGGCACGCGAAGAAGTTCACCAGAATCAGAACGTAGAGCACCAGGGAGTCTCTCTCCCTAACATGAGAACATGAATGAAATACAGGAGTATAGACAGGAGTCAAATCTGAGTCAAGAATGCAAGTCTTCCACACCCACCTTTTCCTCGTTCTTTCAAGCACCATGTCCACCGATGCCATGGCAGCACGCTGGCCGGTGTCGGCTTAACCTCAACTTCACTCAGCTTGCATCATTACTTTCTGCTGCTCAGACTTGGTCTCTTCTCAACGTGTATGACTTTGCCTGAACCGACTGCACGCACCGATCGCCGATAGATTCGCACGTCTTGCTTGGCCGATCCCAGACTTCATCTTTTGCTGCGGCCTTTGTCGACTTGGTCGGACTCGGCAATGCAGGGCTGGGCCAACAGCTGAAAAGCTCGACAGAGTCTGTCCCAGCATGTCCCAGCACTGCAAGCTGTGCCGTGCGATGCTTTAAGCATGCGAGTGAAACCGAAAGGCGATGCCTTGTGACATCTTGTGACATCTTGTGACATCTTGCGATGTGACACAGGTCGCGAGGCTGGTGGCCGGCGGCCGGGAGGCTGAGTCCGAGTGTCACTTCTCCTCCTCCTGGGAGTAGCCACCTGAGCCGTGCATTCGCGAGTGCGATCGAGTGTCGAGTGAGTGCAAGGCCCAAAGGAGGCAGTCCCAGCTCGCCGAGGATTTCATTGATCCTAGTGAAATCGCTTTGAGGCAGGCTTGGCATGAAGCTTGCGCCTCACTTTGGCAGCAGGCTCGACCTCAACGTCCTCTAACAGCTCCAACATCTTCTCCACTCCTGGGCAAAGAAAGGGGGCTCTAGCTTGTCCTTCACCTGACACGAAAACATGCGCACACAGCCAAAGGTTCACGCCTACATCCTTGAAGCGATCCACCTTCAGGCAGGCACCCAATATCACCCAACTCTGATTTCCGTTTGATTTTTTGATAAGGCCACAAGCATCCGTATGCGTGCCTTATGCTTCAACTCATGCTTGGTGACGGCCGTATTTCGCATGACGACTGCGCGAGTCCTTGCCCGCCCGCATCGCATTGCATTGCTATGGCCCGTGCCAAGAACAGGGCCGATCTGCTTCTGCCTTCTTATCTTCCAAGACCTCCCGATTCAAAATTCGGCCGCATCGGCCGTAGACGCGAAACGGGCCGTTTTCGAATACAAAGCAGTTCCTTGCAAATCAGGAACTCGGTTAAGTCTCGGCCCTCTCGGCGCCTGAGCGCGCTGGCGCATCGCCAGGAGCTTTTCGATTTGCTGATCCACCGCGTAGGCGTTGGCCCGGCGGAGCCTCTCCCGGTTCTCTGTGGCCAAGGCTGCCTAAGCTCTAGCCGTTGCATCTGACCGATTTGGAAAAAGAATCGGAAGGCTTCTGTCTCTTGGATTTGGTATTTCCGGCTGCTTTGCCAGGTTGCGAAGTGCTCGGCCTCCTCCCGCGCTCTGAGCATCTCGGGCCTCTCTTTGCGTCGCAGCCTGGCTGAGCTTCCGAGCTCCGAGCTGAAAGGGAGAAAATGGCAGGGGCTCCGAGTGCTCTGAATGGCTCAATTCCCAAGCGCTCAAGCGTGCTGTCGCCGACGTCTCTGAAGCTGAGCGTTGCAAGCTCCTGACTTGAAGCGACAGCTTTTCGCTGACATGGCATGGTCTGGCACGTCGTACTAGTATGTCTTGGTATGTCTTGGTATGTCTTGGTATGTCTTGGTATGTCTTGGTATGTCTTGGTATGTCTTGGTATGTCTTGGTATGTCTTGGTATGTCTTGGTATGTCTTGGTGCCTGGATTCCCAAGTCTTTCGAAACTCTTCGTGGTCTCGTTCTTGTTGCACCAGCAGTCTCTCGTACCTGACACGGTCTGAGACCTTGCTCAGAGGGCGTGTGCATAGAGCGAAGGTTTACACAAATAGATATCTGGGCGTGTCGTTGCAAATTGCCAGGAGAACTCAACTTGCACGGCAAGCCCAACTGTCAGTCTGCGCAACTCGGCACCTCGATGCGAAGGCTTGCCGCTTCTTCCGATTGGTCGTCTGAAGGCATTTTCCAAGCGCACATGTCCACAAATCCTGTTTGAAACGCAACATATTTGGAACATGCATGAGCATGCCACGGGACCTTGAACTCCTCCAACTTTGCAGTGCCTTTCTCTTCTCTGGTGTCTTGTGCCTCAGTCGGTTCAGTGTAGTGCAGTTGTGCAATTGCAGTCCCTGCCTTCTTATGTCTCTGTCTCGCCTCCTCATATTTGTCCTCGATCTCCGCCTGTGTCAGGCTGCCCAGGTCTCCAAAACAGGTAGCCGGCCAGCCTGCTGTTCGGCAAGATATTCGGCCACCTGAGGCCCAGCGCAGTTTGCACAGTGCTGGGGCAGATTGAAAAAGGGATGAAGCCAAACACATCAACAAATTTCAGCACGCTCAAGGGCAAAACCGTGCTGCGACTGAGTCTGTTACTCGTTGTCGGCACTGCATCTCTTTCTCGAGCAACGCCTCTTTGTTCGAGACCCTGCCAAGTACACATTTCATGGCTCAGCGTCGCAGGATGCAGCTCGCCTCTGGCTCAGAAGGTCCTGCAGCCTGTGAGTGGAATGTTGGAGATAGAGTGAAAAGCATTCGTGCCCCATCTAGCCGTCTAGCCGTCTAGCCGTCTAACCGTTCTGAGTCTCGCGCATATCACGCTTCCTCGCATGCTTCTCCTCGATGGAATCGTGCATGTCCTGACGTGCAGCACTGCAGATTGCGGAGGCACATCCAGCTTCCAATAGTTTCCCCAAGAGCACATGGAGTGCATTCCGAAGTCCCAACAATTTCTACACTTCTGGGGATCTGCTTGAGGGTTTTTGGAAATGTCAGGTGCACCTGGCCCTACGCGCACGTGGGGGCAAGTGCGAAGGGACGTGTGCGTTCACCGGTGGCAAACAAAAAGGGCCTGGCGCTTCTGAACCAGCATGCCCTCAAAGGCTGCCTGCAAGCTTGCGATTTCCGGCT